ATAATAACACTTGGCTTTCGAGTTGTCACTAGGTTAAATTTTAACACTTGGCGATAACACGCGTCACCACGATTTACAAAAAACGCAGGTTTGGGATTGAGTCCAGAAATACCAGATACTTGGTGTGAAGTGATAACTACAGTCGCATATCCAAATATTAGAATTATCCTCCATATTGCTATTTTAAACCAACACCAGAAAATGCTACAACAAGAAAAATATTTCAAGAAATTGTTATTCGCGTTCATTTATATACATATATATAGATATATATTCTTTTCTTGAACATTTATTGTTCACTATAGATTACTTGTAAGAACCTTCCAATGTTTATGGTAATACATATACCTGTATTATCAAATACGTATTTTTTACTTCGATTAATTATTATATGATTTAAAGGAAGTTATTCAACAGTTACAGTAAAATCGTACAAACTGCTTTTAAAATATTAGTTCAGTAAGTATAATTAGATTATGTTGAAACACGTGGCTTTCCAGTTGTGTGATGAAGAACAAATGTAGCAAAAAATATTAAATTCAAGAGTCCAACAATCGCGAGCGAATGCAACATGTCTCCGTCACGCAATCCCAACATGGCCAATTTGGCACCAGAAAAACCGAAAACTGTCCATATCACTGCTTGCAGAAAAGCACCTTTGTATCAAATCTCATGTACATTGTTTGTTTGAAGTTAAGCACAAAATTACACAAAGGGCTATCTGTGCTCTTCTCACCACGGGTATCGAAGATCGGTTTCTAGAGTCGTAAGTCCGCAGACATACCGCTATGCCACTGGGAGTAAAAAAATCTATAATTATGTTTTTTGTGGCATCTTGGCCCCCAAAATTATTAAAAATGGGCAAGTCCTCCATTTTTGTTAGGTCAATGTGCAGGACATCTAGAAAAGAATCTTTGTACCCAATTCCATGTAAATTGATCAAAATATGGCCGAGGAATTTACCCAAAACTCCAAAAATTTGTTTTATTCTTACCCCCTAAAAAGTCTCCAAATGGGCAAATCCAACGTTTTATATCAATGTATCGGGCGCATGAAAATATATGTTTGTGCCATTTTTCAGCTGTAAATATGACCGCACCTGAGCCCAAAATATATATTTTTGGGTTGTTTGACTTTTACCCCATAAAATCCGTAAAATGGTCTAAACCACAAAAATCCGCTGAGAATTAAAGGAATGACAGTCAGTTAAAAAGTGTTTGTAAGAAGAACCAATAGCAAACAGTATGTGTTTCTGCGGAGACATAAAAATGGTATCTTTCAGTGGTAGTGGTTCTTTACAAACGATAGTAAGTGTTATCATAAAATATATTATTTAACTGTTTTTTATTAATGAAGACAGCGCATTAATAAAAGCGTTTATTAGTAACAGTGTAAAATGTTAACAAAAGTAAAGAATGGGTGATAAATCACTTATATCTATGTGTAATCACATTGAACGCTTTGGAGGAATTACGATTACATCAACTTGCTGTTAAAATAAAAAAAATAAATTAATGCGTACTATATATTTTTCCGTGTTTCTTGCTTTAGTGCAAAGCTACACAATGGGCTTTCTGCGCTCTGCACACTACGGGGAACCCAACACCAGATTTTAGCGTTTTAAGTCCATAAACTTACCGCTGATGTAGGATGTGCCTCTAAACGTTTCTTGTTTATATGCGGTTATATTCGTTAATAATACTCAAAATGTATAGATAATACTCATTTCTTGTTTCGCGTTTTCATTCTATCTAACTGTCACAAATCTGCCTCTACGGTCGCAGATTTACCGCTGAGCCAATGGGATCTTTTTACATAAAGCAATTGGATTTACATTTGTCATATTGTATATAACTGTAATGAGGTTTTAGTTATTTAAATAAGACTTTTAATTGAAAATGTATTTACTATATATTTTTTGGATGATATTCATTTATGTAATATATATATTGTTTCTTTGTTTGGAACTAAGCACAAAGCTATAAAATGGGCTATCTGTGCTCTCGAAACCCGGTTTTTAGCATGGTAAGTGCGCAGAGTAATATATATACATATGTATGTGTGTGTGTGTGTGTGTAAACTATAATTCAAGTTTCACTTCAAGATAAATATATGTAACAACACTTAAATCTTTCTTTTGTTATTAATCTTTTTCTTATTTTATTGGTCTCGTAGATCACGTGCTGGTTTTCAGTATAAAACATATAAAGGCAACAAAATAACTAAACACGTTTTTGAAATGTAGTAAAATTTAATTTTAAAATTTATATTTTAAATAAGAATAAATATAAAATATACAAGTTTTTTTTTCACTTTAAATTTATATGTTTTTGCAGTAAGTTAAAAAAAAATTATGAAGCCATGACTGAAGTTTATTATAAACCAACAAATTCACACAAGTATCTAGATATTTTGAACAATCATCCCAAATCAGTAAACTTAATTATCCCTGTTACTCTGGCACAAAGGTTATATATATTGCTATCTAATCTAGGGGTAAGATTTGTCAGATTAAAAGAATTGAAACATGATAAAATGTTATCATCCATTATTCATAGAGGTATTAATTCGGCGAAAATTTTACTAGAAGAAAGGATAATAACTAACATTTAATACGGCTAGTGACAACTCATTGTGCAGGGATATCGATCAAAGAAAGGATAGTAATGTACACTTTATACGGCTAGTGACAACTCATTGTGCAGGGATATCGATCAAAGAAAGGATAGTAATGTACACTTTATACGGCTAGTGACAACTCATTGTGCAGGGATATCGATCAAAGAAAGGATAGTAATGTACACT